TTGAGGTCAGCACTTATGACACGCTGCCCCATGCACAGCAACCAAGCCATGTAGGAGGACACTCCAGAAGAGCATGGCACTCCCTACTTTCCCCTCTATATCTTTCCTGGAAAACATGATAAATATGTGAGGGAAGCTGCTGGGACATGTCAGATACGCATCTCCACCCCCCTTCTCTGGATTAAGGAAAAAAAAAAGTCATTCACCACTCAGCATATTTGGAAAGTCTCTCGTGCACAGAGCAGACACCTCCAGACGTCTCCATCGGTGACGTTATTTATAAGTGGACCAAACAGCTTGTTAGGCTAATTGCTCCTGGAGGGATTTAACTCTATTGAGAAAGCTTGAACAGGGCTCCACTGTTCCAGAGCATGAGCCGCCACTCCTCCCTTTGATTTACATCCCTCGTAAAATTTTATGGCCAGATTAGAATGAACTTCACTTGCACCGTGTTTTGAGTATTTTTTTTTTTTTGTGCTGAATGAAAGTAAAAATCAATGCTGTAACTAATTACTGCTTCAACCAGGAAAGGAAAATACCTCAAAATTGGGGGGGAGGACCCAAAAAGCCCCCCTAGAATAGATCCCTTTGGAGGCCCTGCTTCAGACACTCAGAGCCCAGGAGCAATAAAAAAGGCACAGTTTAGGGAAGAGCAATTCTGGATGGAGAAAGCCTGATGTGGCTTTTTATGGTAAAGAAGAGGGAGCACGAGGCATTCGGGGTTCCAGTAAATGGGAGAAGGGAGTGGGTGGTTATCAGTCACTTTGTCTGGAACGTCTTAGTCATTTGGCTGCTGAGCTTGTTCTTATGGAGGGAAAAGTCTACTTTTGAAATAATTGGTTGCTTTGCAGAGATAATTCAGCCATACAGTGCACTTTTTTTGATAAATTACAGAACTCCCTGGGCTACACTTTGCTTCACCAACTGTAAAGCTAGGACATAAATCTAAACAGAAAAAAAATTTTTTTTCTTCCTTTCTTTCTGACAGTGAAATACAATGTCACTGAAAATGGTCTTTATATCTATACTACGAATACAGGAAAGATTGAGAAAAGGAAGGGGAATAAATAAGCCTAGTAAAATATTTACCATTCTAGACATCAGTAGCCAAGGCCAGACTGATGGGAAATGCTTAGTTTGGGGCTGACAGCCTTTAAATGACCTCTTTACAACTGCTTCAATCTTGAAATTCAATATGCATGGGAGCTCCAGTGGGACATGCAAGTATTTTCTGCAAGTATTTTGCCGTGTCAGGCGCTGGCCCATTGACAGGAGCAGGAATTACAGGTGTTCGGTTCCTCCCAGACGGGCAGAACGCAGATGCTGGAGAGTGGCTCATCCCGACAAGGCTCCAGCTGCCTCCCTTCATGCTGGACGAGAGCAGATCATATGCTACATTTCACTTCTGGCCAGGACTTACCTCCATTTACTGCTTTTTTTTTTTTTCCCTCAAAATTAATGCTTTTGGGCTGCAGAAGCATTTCACAAGATGGATTTTTCCACCGAGAAAGGAGCCGCAAGAGAAGGACCACTTCATATGGTCAAAGCGTGGGGCTTGGGAGATTTATTTTAAATTAAATAAGTTATTCCATGTGTTCTGGACACAAGCTCACTATAAACTAATTTGAAACCCAGGGAGAAAACCCTCGACAGTCAATTTTTCAGTCCTTCAAGCCGAAATGCTGTACAAGTAGTTCATCACCTGGCAAATAAACCTGCCAGCTCCAAACTTTATTAATCATTTTCTGTACCCTGCTTGAACTTTTCCAATCTGCACTCAGGAGTGCTCTAATTCTCCATCCACTGGTACCAAAAGAAACAAGGAAAGAGGACAAAAGGAGAGTGATGAAGGCTACGTCATCCTCCTCTGCCTCCTCCACTGCAGGAATGTGAACTTCAGAGGCTGTGATCTGGGGGAGACACCTGCCATTTGCCCCACAGTTTCCATCCTTGGAGCCCAGTTTCTGCAGTTCAGAAGCAGCCAGACCAATACCCTTCCTTGATGGGATGGATTTTCAATTTTTGGCCTGGATAGGGAATTTTTTTACAGCAATTTCTTGAGCTATTACTCCTGTGTAATAATTAACAGTCTTTCTCATGATCTACATTCCCCAATAGAAGCGCACGCCTCCAAAGCCCTTGCTCATTATGTGCCTACATATTCCTTTTCCTAAATGTTAATGTTTTAGTCTTCAAGAAAAAAAGCAAAAAAGGAATGAGAGAGATGACAAAAACTCCACAGAAGAAAGGAACAGATGTTCCCGAGATCAGAGCAAAACAAGCCAGTGGGAACAAACTGTGATGCAGAACATTGTTATTTTTCTAACCTTTCTTAAATTACCTATTTGACTGATTTCTTATGTGCAAAAGGAGGCATAAGGCTTTCCTTTCTGTCAAAGTACCATTGTCTGAAATTATTTAGAAGCTCCCTGTTTCGGTGCATTGAGACTTCCAGCGCACAGACAGATTTAAGACATCTTTAAATCTGTGCAAGGCTCACAAGAATGTGTTTCTTAATACCACTGTAACTAGAGAAGGATTTATAGGAGAAGCCCGGCTAAAATCCAAAGCTCTGAATCAATGACTATCCCAAAAGAAATGTAAACTTAAGTCTGCTTCGCACATACAGCTGATGCTTTGGGGTGCAAGGAGGGGCACGATAATATATAATAGTAAGTGTAAGAACTACCTCAAAAAAGCAGAAGGTCTTTAAAGTCTATTAAATTCTCCTCCCATGTCAGCCCAAGCAGAGATTATAAATATATAGATACACCCAGATTTCACTATTTTCTTAAATGGGGTGGAGGTACCACGATAACACACCCTTCTGATGTACGCAGCAGTTGCACAGTGTTGCTGCCTGGTGTAGGGAGCTAGGCATCTTTCCTGAATTCCTTCTGTCCAGGTCTTTCATGGAGTTATTTTTTCTTAACATATCATGAAGTATGTTTAATTTTCAGTACCTAGTGGCAAGATGCATCTAGATAGGGAATACACTGTAGGTTGCCTCGGGCTAGCAGCTAGCAGTGACTAACATGGATTATGAGAAATTCAGATTGTCTTCTAAATCGGACTACCAGACCCCAGCTTCCCTTCAGACAAGGGAAAAATGTATTTGTACCACTTATTTCATTGGGTATTAATGCTATTCCTAGAGGACACCTCATGTAGATGTGCTTTCTGCTACTTCTTCCAGCTCAGCTCTCATCCAGACAAGACCATGCAATCCATGCAGATTCCTGGAACAGCTGTTTCCCATGTTTTAATGACTATGACAACCACAGCGTTCAGACAGAGCTTTTATTTCAACAACAAATCTGAAAGAAGAGAGGAACTGCTAAATTGGCTCAGAGATGGATGTAGCCCAGTGTCCTGGTCTTCACGCTGGGGAGCAGCTGGCAGTTCAGGTAAAATACCAAAAGACAGAGCTTAGAGCCATCCCTCCTAGTGCACTCTTCCTGCAATCAGCTGTTCAGAGGTTTCCTCTCAATTGCCTCCACATCACCATGGTCTGCAGCCACTAAGAGCTGCACAACTTAAAAAGGATCTCTCTCATTTCTCTCCAAACCCTTTTATACCTTCAACCTCCGCAGCATCCCGTGACGATGCGTTCCACACTCAGAACTGTGCG